AATGTTGGCCACAAGGGGAAGCAGGAAAGAAAGTGTAAAAGACTTTGGAGCAGGCTTCCCTGGTGGCGCAGTGGCTGAGAGTCCGCCTGCCGATGCAGGGGACACGGGTTCGTGCCCCGGTCCGGGAAGATCCCACGTGCCGCGGAGCGGCTGGGCCCGTGAGCCATGGCCGCTGAGCTTGCGCGTCCGGAACCTGTGCTCCGCAACGGGAGAGGCCACAACAGTGAGAGGCCCGCGTACCGCAAAAAAAAAACAGACTTTGGAGCAATTTATCACCAAACCAAGAAAAATTCTTCAAACTGCAGATGCTCTGGGCATATCACTCCAGACATGCTGAATTTTGCATTCCTATAAGACACCAAGTCCTCCTGTTCTGGGGCCTTTTCCAAGGGCCCCTCTACCTGAAACACTTTCACCTCTGTGCCCATCCCCTCTCCATCCATCTCTTCACCTAGTTAACTCCTTCGCATCCTTCAGGTCTTAGCCTCAATGCCATTTCCTCTGAAGCCCCACAGACTAGGCCCTCCTCTTACAGGCTCCCACGGTCCCTCGCGCAACCCCTAATGTAACACGTCACACTTGCACTCACAAGTAAGGCAATTTCAAGTGCAAACAGAGGCCAGGCAGTAACACAGATGAGTGAGCCAGTGGGGTTCTGAGAGCACAGCAGCATATGCCTGACGTAAAGACATTGAACTCACTTTCTTCTATAACATGCGCTGGCCACAACACATATCTGCTGATCCAACGTAACTTAGTGGCTGTGGAGCTGCAGCAAAGGAAGGAGGGGCAAATGACAAATCACGTAGCAGGAGTTAAGGGGTAGACTCTATCTATCGGGGAAACTTGCAAACCGGGGCTCATCCAAGAGAAGTCTACTGTCCCACATTCTCTCATCATCCCTCAGAGAGCCTGCGGGGCAAGGGAGAAGCTTGTGGACACAGAAGGTTTCTGTCCTGGGAGGGATACGGGACGCTGCCCTCCTGCTCTTCCACCTTCTTATGGTACAAGCAGGAAAGCAACCTTATCAGTGGGAAAACAGGGAGAGAGTATCAGCCCTGCAAAGAATCGTCAGGGTACCAGCCGCCAGCACCTGGCAACCTTGCAAGAAGGTAGAAGCAGGCTGCTGGAGGGTGGAGACCCTAGTCCCACAAGAAGTTGTGTTTGAGTACAGTGCCTCCCACTAGGGAGGGCGAAGCCTTCTCCCAAGCACTCTGAGCTTCTGGGATCATTCGTCAATTTTTCTCCTCTCTCTTCCACGGGGCGTCACTAGCCCATAACTCTGATGGCTCTGTCTTTCCTGCTTACAAGATTGTATCATTTCTGTCTTTTCCTAGTTGTATTCTTGGAGCCTGACTCAGTGCCTGTCATGTAGTAGGAGCAAGAAAAATGTATGTGTTGAATAAATGAAGAATCATCTTCATAGCTTAAACAGGTAGCCTAGGATTGCCATCTAGAGGTTTTACTGTCTCTCAAAAAAATTGTCCTGTGAAAACTGCAATGTGGGAAGCAGGAAGGAAAGCGTTCCTTGTGTCTGGCTGTTATCATTTCCTCCTATCCTCCTCCTTTCAGTGAAGCCTCCTTTATTCTCCAGGGCTTTGCTCTATCTCATTAATGTTAATATCTTATCTAACCTTTCCTTGGCTCTCTGCAGTGATGGGGCTTCCATTCCACTACCTAATTGCTCTTACTCTTCATCTTTCAAAATGTCCACCCTAAACTTTTTCCTCTATAGCTTCAGGCTATTTCATGCCTCTTCTGAGACTTAATCATCTTTCTCTTTGCCTGGGTTAGCTCAGAGAAGTAGACTGAAAAATGCAGAAGGACTTTAGAAAAACAAAGGAGAAATCCTGTATTGGGTACATTCTTTTTTTTTTTTTAAATATACATTCACTTATTTATTTTTGGCTGTGTTGGGTCTTCGCTGCTGTGCACAGTGTCTTTTCTCTAGTTGCGCTGTGCGGGTTTCTCATTGCGGTGGTTTCTCTTGTTGCAGAGCACAGGCTCTAGGCGTGCAGGCTTCAGTAGTTGTGGCACGTGGGCTCAGTAGTTGTGGCTTGCAGGCTATAGAGCGCAGCCTCAGTAGTTGTGGTGCACGGGCTTAGTTGCTCCGCTGCATGTGGGATCTTCCTGCACCAGGGCTCGAACCTGTGTCCCCTGCATTGGCAGGTGGATTCTTAACCACTGTGCCACCAGGGAAGTCCTGGGTACATCCTTACGACGAGTAAAAGGTTCATTCATCACTCATCCCCCCTGTCCATTGGGAGTTGAGGTCCTCCTGGTGGAGGATTTGATGTCAAGTCACGGGCAGGGGAATGAACAGATCTGCCTGCCAACCTGATCCTAGAATAAAAGTAGAGCTGAGAGCCTGCAATTTCTTCTAAGTACCTACACTGCTTGCAAAAGACCAGAAGTTTTCTATCAAGGTCATCCTCTCTTCAGATCAATGAGCAAAGGAGATCACAGATTTTAAGGGCTCTTTTGGGTCTAGTTAAAACCACAAGGCAAGCATAAGGAGGTGAGAGGGTTAAGACCTGGAATTCATAGGCGTTTAGATCTCAAGTGTTTCTAGATATAATAAAGGAGCATTTAGCTTCCTCAGACTGCACCTGTATTCAGGCTATTTGAGACTGGGAAAAACTGTAAAGCAAACCATCAAAACAGGACCATGACCATTACCACAACCCAGGTGCTGCCATTACTGAACTGTTTGAAGCACCCGGAGGCAGCTGACAATGGAGCTGAGTAGAAAAGCTATCAAATGCGAACATTTCAGTCAGGGAACAACTTCAGATTGCTCACCCTCTGATTAACTGCTTTAAAAAAATAGAGTTCTAACTTTATATTCCATTCCTCACTCTGAGTCATGATTGCCCTGTAAAATGTCCTTATCAAGAGGGGCGAAAATTAATAAGCTCAAAGAATGACGGGGATTGCTCCAGCCAAAGAAGGCAAGAAAACAGTTTCTCAGATATAACTATTAAGGTCAAGGCAGGGATTGGAGAGCAGATACTGACATTCTTAATGACACTCAAAATGGGTAGCCTCGAGGAGAAAGACCAGGCTAGCAAGAAGCAACAGAGGGAAGAAGCAGAGAGAAGCAATATAATCAGAAAATAAACCGTTACTCTCATTTTTGTCTAAAAACTCTATGTCAATAATCTTGATAAACTGAGAACAGGAAGAAATCATGGGCATATGCTGTGACTACTCTATTTATTCTTGCTTTGCTCTCTCCCAAGAGAACACTAAAGGCTGCACTCTGAGCTCACCTTCGAGAAACGCAACATAAAATGGCAATTTCAGAACAGCAGGGCACGGCTTCTAACATCTGATAGACAGCCTAAATGCATTTTATCTTATCAGCTACTCTCGCTCTCACCTCATTTTTCTTTATTCCCAACGCAGCCATATTTTGCTCTTCCTCAACTCCCTGATTCCCACCTCGCTCACGGAAGATTTTAAAAGAAAAACATGTTTTTTATTAAAGTCATATACAAAGCATCCCTGTGTCCCAGGACCCTCAGGCATGTGTACATACTGGTCTGCTTTGTTTAGGAAAAGAAATTGGTGGCATATTTTGTTTCCTATCTTGACGCCAAGAAAATTAAACTGGGATCTTCCTGTCAGTTGCTACACAAGAACCATGACAATCAGCGTGGCTTGTTTTTATTCTTTGGGCCCTTTGAAGGAAAATAGTTCCAAAAGTGTGTTTCATGCATGTTATCTAGATGGATAGAAAGATATTCTGAGCACCAAATTTTTCCAAAAGAAAATCAGAAAATAATGAAATTATCCAAATTATTCAGAACAGCCAGAAAGATAGGGATACCTTGTATAGGGGCAAGTTAGAAGATAATGCTTCATGAATTATCTGATTTAGCTACACACACCCATCAAATTCAAGAGAAAAAAAGGGAGAGGGAGGGGAGAGAGAGAGAGAAGTAACTGACCATTATCAAATCAATAAACTGTGGCTAGAGATATACATATTTTCCTACTCTCTTCTCAAACTAAGGGTTAGTTTAATAGAGCTCTGACACTGTCATGACTGAATGACAGCAAAGTAAAGCTATATTTTATTCAGTGTGATGAAAACAGATACTGTGCTATTGTTTACTGCTTTATTTCTGGAGATGATGGGAGAAAGAGGAAGCGTATAGCATGAATGCTAAAGTGCAGGTTTTGGATTCAGACCACAAAGACTCAGATCCCAGCTCTGTCATTTACTGGATTTGTAAACTTGGACTTTGTACACTTACCTCTGCAAGTCTCAATTCCCCATGTATAAGATTAGATATCCTACTTTCTCAAGTGTGGTGAGAATTAAATAACAATCCATGAAAGCTTTTTGCAGAGTTCCTGGGGCACATACATGCACGTACATACACATACATAGGAAGGGCAATAACTTTTTGCAGAGTTCCTGGGGCCATGTACACACATACACATACATATCAAGGACTAGATCATCATAAAAAGAGCAGAAATATCTGCCCATCTTTACAAAGTGTGCACATTTACTAAAGGTGAATAGCATTTTTTAGAATTTAAGGTATGGGTATGTATATATCACTATGAGCATTTTTTTCTCCATAAATTTGTTGAGCAAAGAATTACTTCTAACATCTACTCTGTGTACAAAACCATACCATTTTAGCGACATTATCAGGTATCGAGCCATTTGTTGCATAAGTGAATTTTTTCAATGTGAAGAGGTGAAACTGTTAGGTAGAGAGCCAAAGATAGAAATGGAGATTTAGTTGCGGGGAGGGGGAGGGAAGGAAGCTGGAAAGTTTTAATAGAAATCATTGTTGAAGGCAATAAATATTCACAGAGGTTCTACAATGTAACATTTTCTGAATCATACATCACTGATAGCAACGTGAGCTATTGCTTCATGCTGGCTCCTATTTTCCCTAAATAGAAATGTTCTCAATGCACAGTACAGCGTAGTGGAAAGAACTCTGCCTAATCGCAGAGTACCCTATAAGTGTTACCTTTTTAAAATTCTTCTTTCAACATCATGTGGTTCTTCTATGTCCTCTCAGCCTCTTAGTCACATGTTTGTTTGTTTAGACAGTGTTTACTGAATATCATGTGTCAGGGACTGTGTGGAGAACACAGATGAACAGGACACGGTTAACTGTACCAAAGGAGATTGCAGTCTAAAGGAATATACGAACGTCGGTTATTATACCTTCCTCTACACAAGGTGTGTGATTCTTCCTCATGTCTCTCCCTACCACCCCTACCTCTCTCTCTCTTCCTTCTGCTGAAGGCAAGGAAACCAATTAGCCCAGCTGGTTAAAATGATATTTTTAATGAAAGCAAGCACATGTTGAGTCAGGGGTTCTCCTTTTAGTAAAATACATGAAATTTATTTTTAATGCCCTTGATACATCTAATTCAGCTGTTTAGAAACCACTTGTTTTACTTTATTATTTTCTCTAATGTTCCAAGTAGAAGAGGCTGCCAGAGTAATGACCTCTGGGTAAGTGAGGAATTCATGTATTATAGTAAATAAAAACCTATGCAGTTAGCCAACACTTCCAAATACGATTGTATCATAAGGGCTGAATATTTATACAATGTTTGTGGTATTTCTGTAATAGCTTTGGCAACAAAGACTGTCCTTCAGATTCCCATTTTACAAATTGGTATCTAAGTTTAGAACAGTCATTTGTCCCAGATCACACACACATTTTTAAACATTAGCATTTGAGAGAAAATAAAAGGAAATATTACTCCAAACAACAAGTGCATCATATTAACTCATCACCCCTAAGAGGTTACATGGGCTGCACATATGAATAGATTAGAAAATGACTTGGGGATAGAGGGCAAGATGGCAGTGCGGCTATAGTTCAGAATCTCTTCAAAACAGACAAGAAATGGACAATGCAATTAAAATGTCAAACAAACCAAAAACAAACAAACAAACAAAAAGCTCCATAGTTATAAAAAAGACTTTTTCTTATTTCAAAACTCTTTAAAATATAATTGGGTGTTTAAAGCAAAAGTAGTGATAATAAATTATAGGGTTTATAACTTGGGTAGAAGTAAAATATATGATAGCGGTAGTACAAAGACAAAAAGGAAAAAATAGAAGTAAACTGCTGTAATATTTCGGACATAAACTGCCAGAATATTATTTGAAGGTAGATTACATTGTAATAAGTCGAAGATGTATATTGTAAATCCCAGAGCAATCACTAAAAACTAAAGCAAAGAGGAATACCCAAAATTCCAAGAGTGGCGATAAAATGGAAGCACAGAAAATATTCAGTGAATCCATCAAAGACAGGAAAAGAAGTCAAATGGAACAACAAGCAGTGAGACAAATAGCAAACATACAGCAAGGTGTTAGATTCAGGCCCAGCCATATCAATAAACAGCCTAAGAAAATCAAGAACCAGCTAAATTGCTGTATATAAAATATCCACTTTAAATATAAAGACATAGATAGCTTAAAGGCAAAAGGATGAAAAACATGCCATTCAAGCAGTGATAAAAAGAAGCTCGTATGGCTATAATAATATCAAAGTAGACTTTAGAACAAGTAATATACCAGGGATAAAGAGGAACATTTTGTAATGATGAAAAAAGAAACCCACAAGAATCCTAAATTCTCACATTTTTAATCTACTGAGTTTTAAAACATACGGGAAAAAAAGACCTTAAAAACTGAAAAGAGATATAGACAAATAATTATACTGGATCAATATTCCTCTTTCTATAACTCATAAAAGAAGAAGACCAAAAAAAAAAAGAATCAGTAGGTATACAGATGATTTTAACAACACTATGAACCAAGTTAACCTAATTGCCATTTATAGAAACTCAACCCAAGAAGAGTAAAATATGTATTCATCTCAAATACACAAGGGATAGTCACCGTGAAAGACTCCATTTTGGGCCAAGTCTCAAATAAACTGGAAAACTGAAATCATTCAGAGTAGGTTATCTGGGCCCAATAGAACTGAACTAGAATCTAACAACAAAAAGGTATCTGGAAAACCTCCAAGTATTTGTAATCCAAATATGTGGACTCTAAAATATAAAACAAACAAATGTATATAACAAACCAGAAACAGACTCACATACATAGAGAACAAACTAGTGGTACCCAGTGGGGAGAAAGAAGGGAGAGAGGCAAGATAGGGGTAGGGGATTAAGAGATACAAACTACTATATATAAAATAAATAAGCAACAAGGATATACTGTACAGCACAGGGAAATAGAGCCATTATTTTGTAATAACATTAAATGACATATAATCTATAAAAATACTGAATCACTTTGTTGTACACCTGAAACTAATATTGTAAATCAGCTATACTTCACTAAAAATATTAATAATAATAAAAGAAGGAAAAAAGAAATCATATGGAAATTAAAAATTACTTAGAACTGAATGAAAATTAAAACAGTGTATTGAAATTTCAGGGATGCAACTAAAACAGTTGTTATAGGAAAACATATGGCATGAGAGGTTTACATTAGAAAAGATAATGGTCTAAAACCAATAATCCAAACTTCAAACACAGGAAACTAGAATAAGAGCAACTTAAATCCAAATTAAACAAAGTATGGAAATAATGAGTGGAAATCAATGAGATAGAAATGGATTAAAAAAATAGAGAAAATCAATTAATCCAAAAGCTCCTTCTTTGAAATGTTCAAAGATTGGTAAATTTTTAGAATGACAGAACAAGGAAAAAAAGGGGGGAGGTAGAGAGAGAGAGAGAAGACACAAGAAACATTCCCTACCCCCAGGATAGGCATCCTCAAAATGTATATCCAGCAATATTTTACAATTGCTAGGGGCCAGTGACAGCTGTGTGCCTCTCACTTTTTCTCTTGCCAAATGGGAATATTTATTGAAATTATCCTGTCCCTACTCCATGAAAATATGCTGAAGGACGGAGTTACTGATAACTCATCTTTTTTGGTGGTGGTTTGGGATTGTTTTGTTTGGTTTTTGCTTTTGTTTATAATTTTCTCAGTCAAGAATCACATCTGGAGCTGATGTAACATGTTCAGAAAATCCTGGACTCTGAGTCAATGCTGTGATTGGATGGGACTTTTGTGGTGTTTATTTTGGGAAAGGGTAAATGCATTTCCACGTAGTAAGAAAACACAGTGCAACTCTTTCAGTTGTATTATTTTCCTCAAGGATTTACTGCTAGGTGTCTCAGTGTATAACCCTCTTCAGGAAAATATTTCCACAGAGGATTATATATAATAACCTACTGCCATGACTTGCAAAGCCTCCTAAGACAGGAGTATATTTCCTTCCAGAACCCTGTCTATAATTGCCTGGTTCATTATTGAAAGTCAGTGGATATATCACCCCAACAGCTAAGGAAATAGGAGTTATGTATGGTCTGAAGCCTATGAAATTTGGGGAGCCATATTTAAGACAAGAACATAAAATTATAAAGTTAGAAATAAATATTCAGGGGGGCGCATTCAAGATGGCAGAGGAGTAAGACGTGGAGATCACCTTCCTCCCCACAAATACATCAAAACTACATCTACATGTGGAAAAACTCCTACAGAACACCTACTGAAAGCTGGCAGAAGATCTCAGACTTCCCCAAAAGCAAGAAACTCCCCACATACCTGGATAGGGCAAAGGAAAAACAGAGACAAAAGAATAGGGACAGGGCTTGTACCTCAGGGAGGGAGCTGTGAAGGAGGAAGTTTCCACACACTAGGGAGCCCCTTCACTGGCAGAGCTGGGGGGGGGGTGGGGGGGGGGGAAGCTTCAGAGCCACAGAGGACAGTGCAGCAACAGGGGTGCAGAGGGCAAAGCGGAGAGATTCCTGCACAGAGGATCGGGGCCGACCAGCACTCACCAGCCCGAGGCTTGTCTGCTCACCCTCTGGGGCGGGTGGGGGCTGGGATCTGAGGCTCGGGCTTCGTAGGTCAGACCCCAGGGAGAGGACTGGGGTTGGCTGTATTAACACAGCCTGAAGGGGGATAGTGCGCCACACCTAGCCTGGAGGGAGTCCGGGAAAAACTCCGGACCTGCCTAAGAGGCAAGAGACCATTGTTTTTGGGTGCATGAGGAGAAGGGATTCAGAGCACTGCCTAAATGAGTTCCAGAGACGGGTGCGAGCCATGGCTAACAGCGTGGACACCAGAGACGGGCATGAAACGCTAAGGCTCCTGCTGAAGCCACCAAGAATTCTGTGTAGCCCACCAGAGCTAGGGTCCCGTGATCCAGGGACAACTTCCCCGGGAGAACGCACGGCATGCCTCAGGACATTACAACGTCATGCCGGCCTCTGCCACCACAGGTTTGCCCCAATTCCATGCCCCTCCCTCCCCCCAGCCTGAGTGAGCCAGAGCCCCCTAATCAGCCGCTCCTTTAACCCCGTCCTGTCTGGGTGGGAACAGACGCCCTCAGGTGACCTACATGCAGAGGCAGGACCAAATCCAAAGCTGAACCCCAGGAGCTGTGTGAACAAAGAAGAGAAAGGGAAATCTCTCCCAGCAGCCTCAGGAGCAGCAGATTAAATCTCCACAATCAACTTGATGTACCCTGCATCTGTGGAATGCCTGAATAGACAATGAATCATCCCAAAATGGAGGCGGTGGACTTTGGGAGCAACTGTACACTTTGGGTTTGCTTTTAGCATCTAATTTGTTTCTGGTTTTATGTTTCACTTAGCTTAGTATTTAGAACTTATTATCACTAGTAGATTTGTTTATTGATTTGGCTGCTCTCTTCCTTTTTTTATTTTTTATTTTTTCCTTTTTTCTCTTTTTGTGAGTGTGTATGTGTATGCTTCTTTGTGTGATTTTGTCTGTATAGCTTTGCTTTTGCCATTTATCCTAAGGTTCTGACTATGCCTCTGGGGGGGTTTTATGTTGTTTTTTAAATTTTTTTTTAGTATAGTTTTTAGTGCTTGTTATCATTGATGGATTTGTTTTTTTGGCTTGGTTGCTCTCTTCTTTCATTCTCTCCTTCCTTTTTTTCATTACTTTTTTATTTTTATATTCTTAATAATTTTTTTCATTCTAATTATTTTATTTTCTTCCTTATTTCCTTCCTTCCTTCCTTCCTTCCTTCCTTCCTTTCTTCCTTTCTTTTTCCT